ATAGGCAAGTCGTCTGACTCATGAAATAGTTATTATATAAATTCGGCAGTATCAGTCGAGGTATCAGTTATGATGATGACAATTCGAAATGAAATATTGTTTTTCGAAAGTTAACTGCAGATAAATTCCGTACACTCTTCATTTCAAGAAAGGTGTAGTAGCTCAGTTGAAATAAGTTCGATTTGTAACTGGATGAACGGGGTTCGAAACCATGGCGGTCGTGTTATTTGAATATATCGGCTGGCCAGCATAATCTGGGTCAGCGAAAGGCCGACTGAAATTGTTTGCTGGGATATGTATAATTGAGCTCAAAAATGGTTCATGAATCATACTGTATAGTAGTCTACTTGATTTTGTGAATTTAACAAAACATAATGAAAAACTCTTGGTAGGTAGGTATACATACCTATACTGAGACAGAATTTTAAACGTTCATTATAAAATCATTATGAATACATCAATCGGTATTATTTGTTTGTAGTTGTCTTGATGTTAAGACCAATCATACCATAGGGATAATATATAGGGTGATTTTGAGATAATAATTTGAAAGACAAAAAGCCTGATTCTCAAAATAGGACAACAAAATAAACTGATCCAGATAATTCACTCATGTTCTCACGTTTTTATTTCTACCTCGTCTGATGGAAAACGTTATTATATAGTCCACTCACCACTTTAGTAATCAATAATGATGATAGTAATAATAGTTGTCAAGTCCTAAAGGCGTGAATATCTCGAGATATCAAGAGATGCCAAACTCCGTATCAGGACAAGGTCGAATCGAAACAGCATATAAGCGAACTCTCACACATAAAAATTGCCATTTAGGGCCTATTTATGAATCATTGTCTTAGTATTTGCTTTAATCATAGTCTCACCAAGGTGGATAGAATATTAACTCATCATATTTGGACCTTCATGCATCACAATCTTTAGGCCTAAGAATTATGATATGACAATTTACAATCCGTCAAAAGTGTCAACTGAGATGTCAATAATGTCAACTGCCAATCCAAATATTTTATTTTGGAGCAGGTTCTTGAGCTAATTTTGAGGATTCTTCAAGTTTATTGTTTTTCTTCCTAAAAATCTCGTACGAATTCGAAAATGGAATAGATAGAAATTTAATCATTGGAATTACTTTGTCATTTATTTATTTGCATCTTGCGACTCTGGTTTGCTTGATGCAAAAAAGAAAGAAAGTCAAGAAATTCGTAGTTTAAAGAAAAACACAAGGTTTCTAAACGACTTTGGTGGAGTCAATGAAAACTGGAGAACTAGTTGAAGGTCAATTCTTCAAATACACAAGAATGAAGAAAAATCAATTCACCTCTCCATTTCACTGGCCCCAGCTTACAAAAAAATTAGTAGAAATTCCACATACCTCCGGAACATCGACTAATGATAACAATTCAGGAAGTTCATATTGATTGTCAAATATGTTGACAGGTCGACACATGCTCATTTCTTATGTGGTCTCAGTCATAAGCATAAAAATTGAAAGTTTGTAACTTTCAAGGTCATGATTTAATGATTATGATTAAGACTGAGACTAAAAATGTTGCATAAATTCACCTATTGAAATGTATGCTCATAAGCTGATATTATGATAAAAACAAAGACTGTGATTGAGACTAAGACTAAGACAATGATGCATAAATAAGATCTCGATAAGTGGGGGGTAGGGCAAAGGGGTGTGTGAATACCGACAGATACATGACATTTTGGTTCTTCTGATCTCGTGTTGAAACTAATTTGAGCATTGTTTGATACTTTTGTTCGTTTTCTAATCATCACCAGTAGCAATTTCGAAGTTTTACATAGTGTTTTGTATAAGCACACATTATCTTTTGTCGGGCAAATAGTTCTTATAATATGAAAGGAATAGCCGATTTATTCGTTATTCAAGAGTTCACGGAAAGGCTACTCGATCTTTGTATTTAGTTTTAGTTTACTCTAGTCATGTCGAAAGATATAAGCATCCATTATCTTGTCTAATTCATTTGTACGGGGTCTCAAACATCTGTACAAAATGTTATCAAAATCTTTCGATATCGAAAAATATGACGATTCAAATCGAATTAAAATTCTCCGTAAATTTGTGGCAGCATTTTGTACAGATCATTAGACACCTTGAACTTTTCACTAAGTTAATACACCGTAACATCAATAACTCTATAGAAGTTTTGTCCAAAATAACATGTGTATACCGGGTGTCCCAGAACTTTTAGGCCAGCATATAATTAATACTAATTTCATTGATGTGTCCCACCTTCAAATGGGCCACAATGTATGTATATGGAGATGGTGATTCAACAGAAAGAAATATGATGAAATTTCCTGATTGAACATTCTTGAACATGACAAAGTGTAACGCTCGTGTCAAACTCTTCTATATAACGGTTTTTTACATACGTCACTTTTTCCAGGTTTTCTTCACATAGTAGGATTTTTTTGCGATTCTCCTGGATCTTTGACGCTTTCGGCGCCAATAAATCACTTTTTATACATTTCATATTCCTAGCTGTCACCTGACCTCCCATAACACACTAACGTTAACTACTAAATAATACTCCAAATCATCTCTACGACATTTCAATATGATCAAACGATCAATTCAATTGGTATATTTTTTGGACATATCCATCCTCAGCCTAATCAAAAATTGCCACATTGATTGTGTCCTAGAATGAATATGAATGAGTGCCAGAAATGCATTATTGAAAAATTGAATGCTTACGAGGGAATGGAAAAAAGGTTGGTTACTTCCTAATATTAATAATTGTTGAAAGGGGGGATTTAATATTTGCAGAAGCAGAGGGGAACCACACGAACTCGATGGAGAACGGAAGTCACCTGACTAGGCTTAAAGAGAACAAGGGCATACGTTATAATACGTCACATGTCAACAAATTCGTCTATTGTTGCTGTAAGACATTGCCAGGATGTCTGCTCATATGCCACTTGTCTTTTCTGTTGACATGATTGTGACGTGTGACGCATGCCTTTGTTCTCTTCAAGCCTAGTCAGGTGACTTCCGTTTTCTGTCGAGTACGTAGCAAGATTGACATAGGCACGTTCTCCCATTTGGAAATGTTGCTGATGTGCACCTTGTGGTGGTCTTTACAGTGGTTTTCACCATAATTCTTAGATTCAGGGATTGTGTCATCCCCCTCTGCTTTCACAAAAATTTAAACCCCCATCCCCCTTCTGACATCTATTAATATTAGAATGTAACCAACTTTTTAAATACATTTCTGGCACTTATTCATATTTATTCTAGGACACATTTATAAAGTAGCAATTTTATCAGGCTGAGGATGGACATATATACACTCAGATGCAGAAAGAAGGCAAACATACTCGGCCAAATTTGAAGTCTCAAAACTTCTTGATTTTTGATCCGATTTTGATTATTTTCTCAACAAACTGTAGATGAAATGACTAATCTCAACTCGTTAATCCTGTTTTTTGTTGAATGCTGGCGGATTAGTCATTATACAAGGTTAATTGAAAGGTTGTTGTGTAACCCTAATTTCAAAACACCTTGTGGAATAATTTGTTAGGCAAATTCTTTCAAAATATCAATTTTTGTTAAGAACTATCCCATTCCTACATTTTGATTTTTGATTCATGTCTTCAAGTGCACTCGATCATTTTTAAAAGCGAAATGAACTTGAACTAAAAGGAAAAGAGAATATTTACTCATGCAAATTTCAATTTCACTTCGAAATTATATTTCAACTGAAACTTAATCAATTTAAAAAACGTACTTTGTACAAGAAATAAACTCAATATTTTGTATTTCCACCTCTATAGCTCTTGTCTGCATACGTCGGTTCATACTGTGAATGAGGTTACGAATAGCATCCTGAGGAATATTATGCTATTCCTCCTGGAGGGCTATACGTAGTTCATTTACACAACAACTTTTCAATTAATCCTGTATAATGAATAATCCGCCAGCAATTAACAGAAGACTGGATATACGAGTTGAAATCAGTCATTTTATCTACAGTTTGTTGGGAAATCAAACCGATAATTTAAAAGTTATGAGACTTTAAATTTGACCAAATATTGACATGTTGCATTTCTTTGCATTTGAGTGTATGCCCGAAACATTCTGTTCGGATAGTCAGGCAGCACTCAAGGCTATCTGTCATCCCAGACCAAGCTCAGTATTGGTACAGGAATTTAGAAATGCTCTTGAGATATTAGTCGAATCAAAGGAAGTTGAACTGGTATGGGTCCTGGGTCACAGTGAGGTGCCCGAAAACGAAACAGCAAACGAACTTGCTAGGGAGTCGTTTCTGGGACCAGAGCCTGTACTAGGTATAGCAAGGAGCCAAATTACGTCAGCCCTCGATGAATGGGAGGACAAGGCACTAGGAGAATACTGAAGGAATATCACAGGTTGCAGACAGGCCAAGGAATTCATAGCCGGTCCAAGAGTATCATATCTGCTTGGCAGAGACCGCCAGGTACTCCGCCTCCTTATAAAAGAACTCACAGGGCACAACAGGCTAGGCAGACACCTATCAATTTTGGGGATAGAGGACAACCCCACTTGCCGCAGATGCGGGGAAGACGAGGAAACGTCACTCCATTTTCTCGGCGAGTGCAAGGCGTACGGAAGGCTGAGATATAAAATCTTTGGAGTAAACAAACTCCAACAGGAAGAATTGATTATATTGGAGTGGACGAACATACTGGCCTTCATCAGAAGGTCAAGGAGATTCGTGAAGGGAATCTAGATGGAGGAAGCGTAGATATCTGGAGAGAAGGGGTTAGCAAAAAGGGCCCATCGGAGCTTTCTTGCTTGGCTACAGCCTCCCCACCTACTACTACATATCCAAAACATGTACCAATTGATTTGATCGTTTGATCGTATCAAAATGTCGATAATTTCGAGTATTATTTAGTAGTTACTATTTTACTCCACATGGACTTCTACCAAAGACACTAACGATATTGGGCTACAGCCAAACGAACCGAATTCAAAACAGTTTCATATACTGCCTCTGCATCCCGTGACGTACCTCCAGATCCTGGTGGTCCTGCCGCTCCTGTCTATACCCCCGCTGCTTGTCCTCGAACTCCCTGAGCCTCTGGTTGTAGCGCTCGATTTGCTCGCGAAGCAAGGCGTCTTCTTGTGCAGCCCTCTCTTCGTTGTATTCCAGACAGCCTACGCCGTCGAGACGCTCTACATCGATCCAGCCACGCCACCTCACGCAGACACCGTTCATTATGAAGCCCGCTTTTATGTGGACCTGGAACGAAGCAAATTTTTATTTGAGGTGTTTTGTGAGTTCGATTCATCTTCATAGTCATTAGGTTCTGATTTCTGAACTGTTCAAGATTCTCGAACTGCGTAGATCTAGTGCGCAGTCGTTTAGAATCCTAGAATTGTTCCAGAACGGTTCACAAAATATGAAAACTCAAACGCGGCAGACAAAAACCTCTGAGAACATAACCTCTATTAGAACTTGCAAAAAAAAACAATAGTTTGGAATATGTACCTTCATTCCAATAATATTCCGAAGCTTCAAACTTTCCTTTGAGCGAGCCTTTGAGTCTATTCACAATATCTCTGGAAACCCTCTCTGGAGGAATGATGAATATATTCTATTAAAGCATTTGTAGCTAGATATTCAAAATGTTTTGTCCCTTGTACCTACCCTACATAAATTTCAACACCCACCTGGAATGTTCAATGAATTGTGTATATTGTATATGAATATAATGGCAAAGTCTCCCCAACATGATCATCCAATATGTAAAATCTTCAAATTCTTGCACAGTTTCAGTCACATAGTCAAATGAATTTTGCGATCAGAAAAAGCTATACAAAAGGTGGACAAAGAAATTATCTATGTATATTTTTTCAACTTTGATATACTCTGTATCTCGAAAGTTAGGAGTTCCACGTTATATAATACGTTCATATGAAGTTTTGATCTTAAAATGGTTAAAAAAATCGCCCCCTTGAATATTAGCATGTCATTATGGAATACCCTGTATTTGTCGAATGATAATTTTGTAACGAGGATTAGGAATCATCACAAGGTTCATTGAGCTTTATAATATTCCAATTTCACGCAAAGTCCAAATAATCCATCATTTTGTGTTCATCCAAAAGTCACTGTCAATTTTATTTGATAATTTGAAACAAATTATAACTTCGAATGTAGCATAGCAACAAACTTTTTCTGTTTAAGCAGCGAGGAAACACATTTTGTGCCTATTAAGTGTCATTTAACAACCACTCTTTATGTCATTTGGAGATGAGATATTTTAATTATATTATTTTTATATTAGTATATCATGCAATATAAAATCTCTAAGAAAAACCTCGAAAAGAAAAATTAACTAACAGCATCATCAGATTTCAAATAACGTGAAACATCAGATATAATTCATATTCAGAATTGAAAAAAACGGTACTATAGGTTTTTATGTACCTAGGTTCTGGAACATTTCTCAAATACTATTACCAGTAGCTGAAATGATGATTTTCAACATGAATGGAAATCAAAAACGATGATTCAAATCTCGTTACCACAGTATCCGAACGTTACGCGCCAGTGGAATCCTATTTATTTTTTAGAAGCAAACACTAGTGATGCATTGAAAGTAGAAATAAATAATAATGCAAGTTCTTGACTGCCTTTACTTTCACAACTTCTCTATGTCCGTTGCCGACAAAAGAAATGTCTGAAAGACATCTTGATACATATATTTCAAGTTGCACCTTCCTAGAATATTGTAAACAACTTTATTTGTCGGAAAATAGATATTGGGGTAGCATTTCAACAAAAGAACAGGGAAAATCTATGAATTGTATGAGTGCTTCTTATCCTTCACGTTTGACTTTCTACCTTTTTCTTTGTGTTGATGTATTCGAAACAGGTAGCTAGGTTTGAAATCCTAAAATTCTGCAATAAATCAGAATCCAGGGCAATGCCATTTAGATAGAAACTGAACTGACCTGAACTTGATTGATTTTAACTACTTGTATATTGCTATTTGATAATTTGTGACGGTTACGGGTATGAATGTAAAATAGTATCATATAGAGAACGATACTTCCGGATTGACTGAAAGTGTGAATAACATTTTCAAGTCAAATAAATAGTTTCTTTTTTCAGAAATGAAATTTCAGTATGAAATTAACTTTCTAGCAACTTTTGATTGAAATAATACTGATATAAATAATGAGGATGTTATTTGAAACTCAGAGTTTTTGCATAAAAAGTGTGCCATGAGAAATCGAGCGACTGTATAAAGCAAACTATATCATCAGATGACTCTCAGCCGAGCTCTCAGCTGTGTGCTATACACGAGCACAAATGATTGTACATTTTTTTCGTACTTACCTATATTTGACGCAAAATGATTTATTTAATTTAAATGGCGGACGCCCGTTATTTTTTTGGAAATGCCATCAAGTTTGTTTTATCAGGTATAGAATAACCATGTTGAAAGTTACATCAAATAAATTTCGAATTGAAAGCTGACAAAAAACATTTCTTGCGGTGACAAAATATTTTGTCGTGGATATATGACACTCAGATTTTGTTGAATTTACAAAAATTATGTAGTTTCAAACAATTTTTTTTCTGTGTGGCTTTCGCCATCGAAGATCAACTGTAGAATTACTTGCCTAGGTCAGTTATATAACAAGCACCATTAGAAAAACACGGGGAATCTGTACCTGTAGCGTTTGATATTTGAGAAACATTCGACCGTGTTCGGCACCAAGGACTCTTTATAGGAAGATCGCTAAAAAATTATTTATTGTTTGCCAATTAACCTTTGTGCTTAGTTTCGGTGCTACACAGAAAAACAATTTCGTTTGAAACTACAAAATGTTTGTAAATTCAACAGAATCTGAGTGTCATATATCAACGACCAAATATTTTGTCACCGCGCAACAAATGTTTTATGTCAGTTTCCAATTCAAAATTCATATTTGATTTAATTCATTAATGATTCAAATTAACAGCAGAAATTGATTGAATATATAAACAAAGACTATTTCGTTCCTGTCATACAATATCTGCTCTTATATGAACACATTCTGTTGATTGAAATGATCATATCATTTCATTCAAGTGACGAAATTTTCAGTTTCTCAGAGAGTAAATATGTTTAGATAACAATATATATTCTCCCACCAACAAAATTGTATTCAGAATTGACAAAATATTTCGTTGAATAATACTTAATAAAGAAAATCCAATAGCTGAATTTCAAAAAAAAGAGAAATTCCATATAGGTAGTTGATTCAAGACTATTAACTTGTATAAGCGTCATTAGAGATTCTAGCTCAATATAAGTATATAAAGGGATGTTCTAGGTAGGTATATTAAGTTGATTTCGCAAAATTGCGATTAATTTTACAAAAAAAATGACCAAAATTATTTTGTTGGTGCAACAAAACTTGCTTTCCGTGTTCAACATGTCTTATATATATACAACAGTAAATTATTATATCAACAGGAAGAACTTCCAAAATAAATATCTATTTATTGAATAGCACATGAACTTGAAAATATCGACCACCATCAGCAATGCATAATTGGCAAAACACGTTTGTTTTCCTCAGATCTACCACCTGTATAAGTACATTGAGCCATGTGGAAGAACAATTGATTCATCATTCATCCCCGCCTCATCCAGTTCATTCTTGAAACATATTGTGCATAATAATGCCTAAAAGGCCGTATATCTTGTGTTAGGCCAGCCCATGAAAGCTGGACAACCAACGGCTATAAATATAGTTATATTATTATGTTTTATATAAAATGTAAACCTTTTTTTGAAATAAAGTATATTAATAATATCCTTTCAATTTGAATCTCTGATGTGAGCCACTAGCACACTCGAGTCTAGGGCTAGCACCTTCTGAGGAGGCGAACGTACCCGAACGTAAGAATGTCCTTGACTAACAGACTGTATATTGACAGAATTTAAAGCACACATCAGAGTTGAATGTATAATTAAAATATTTTATCTGGGTAGTGACTCGGTGATGGAATCTTTTTATCATGTTCTGATTCCCACGAAAAGGGATATCCTGTAATGTTCCGAGAACATCGTGAGAACCAAGGGAAATAAGGTAGGAATTGGTGTTCTTCTTGAATTTCTGGAGGTTGTATGCTTCGGGAACACCTTCCTTGGCAATGTGTTCCAGAGCCTCGCTGTTCGTTGGATGAACGAGTCTTTGGAAAGAGATGTTCTGCAGGTCTCCAAAGTGACCACGAAGGTGTGCGAAGCCTCAACTCGACGGGTTGATCTCGCAGGGACTGCCAAGGGAGGAACAATTGTTGATATTTCAGAAGAGCATCGTCCATGAAAATAACTATAAAATAGAGCCAGATCGCCAACTTTTTTACGGTGTTCCAGAGAAATGAGTGAGTTTGTGAGCGAGGCACCCGCGAGACGAATTGCCCTTTTTTGGACAGCATCCAACAGTTTCAGGGTATTTTTGGGTGCTGCACTCCAGATATGGAAAGAGTATGCCAGGACAGGTCGGATCTGTGTCTTATAGACCATAATAAGCAGCTGACTGGAAGTGGGATAGCTTCTGGCCCGAAACAGAAAAACCAAGTTTTTGGGATGCACTTTTAGCAATTGATCTCACGTGATTTTCCCAACGAAGGTTATTGCTGATGGTAATATACCAAGCATCGAAATGGATGTCTTCACAGGTATGGTTACTCCTGACAAGCTTATGTTGGGCACAGTGAGATCGGCTTTCCTAGAGAAGAGGCATGCTTGTGTTTTGTTCGCATTGAAATCTACCAAGTTATTGGATCCCCATTCGAGAATTGTCGCTAAGTCCATATTAATGTTGTCAACATTGTCAACAATGCTTTTAAGGCTGCAAAAAATATGATATAGATTGTTCCTTCAGACTCCTGAGGATATTAGGCGAAGTAGGTTTATATTTTGTTCAAAAAATGTATTTTACTATACCTAGTTGTTCTTATAACAACGTGTGGTGTAGGTAGGTAGTTTATGTTATGCAGTGCTGTTTTTGTAATTCTAGAGATAGGTATTCAGTAGTCATTCTATAAGTATACAAAATATTAGGGTTATACCGGGTTATACATTGATAACTTAATGCATAATTACAAAGAGTGTCAGTTTGACAGTTGAAATACCGCGAAGGAAGTTTGAGATGAACGTATATGAATTTCAACATTGAAATTGAAAGACATCAAGTAGTTCAGTATCAAAACAAAATCGAATAAAAATTTAATGA